ATGATTTCTTTTCTCTTTGCAAATAGGCATTCTCTCCCTTGCTCATTTTTTGCTTCTTTTCTCAGAGGAACACTTACAACAATGTTTCTAACTTTCCTGTCAAAAAGACATGTATTTCATAGTGACTGCTGTATAACGAGCTCGATGACAAAAGATGTGTGATATCTCTAGACACAGGGAAATTTGTATCATGTTCACAATTTATTTTTATACCTGATCACATCCTTACACCTGGCTTTATTGAAAGTCATGCCTTAAATATTTTATGTGTGAGACCCAAGATCTGTATTCCTTTTTATTAAAGATGCTACAAATTCCTTTAAAAACATACTCGTGTTGAGTTCAAATTTCTCATCCTTGAGTTTTTTTGGGCCAGTCATTCTTCTCTTTTAGGCATATTCTATTTGTTGTGCACACTCATAAAATCATAATCCTCCTAACACCAGCTGATAGGATTTTGTTTTTCTCTTGAGGCATTGGGTGCCCTCACAAGCCCTGTCTTCAGACTGGTGCTTCAAAAAATCAGTTCCCCTTCTATCATAATGAGGATTATGCTACTCTGAGGAGGCATCAGAATTCAAATTTCCTTTTGGAAACTTTTATGTTCGGTTGCACAAAGACATCTAACCATCACCCTTAGCAACTCCTTAATCAGATAGTATGCACTTATGCAGAAAAGATTACTGTGCCACCAAGCTTTTCCTGGTAACGCACAGATATGCAAGAGTTTGTGGGCACCACTTCTAAATTTGGGTTGCTTGAAGTCAGCAGTGGGCAGTGGGGAGAGGGGAGGGCCATGGGGCGTGCAGCAAACCCTGTAAAGTTATCCTTTGTTTCAGGGATTATCTGACATGTAATTATGGCTGCATAAGCCAAGAGAAGARCGTTTATCTCAGGTTTCCTCTGGTGAATGAGGGGGTCACATTTGCCAGCGGCTGGGGTGCCTGGGGACAGCTGGGAGGCAAAGTGCCAGCACAGCTGTGCCACTGTCATTGTGCCACTCACAGCTGCCTTCCCTCCTGGGGCTCATTCCTGCCTTCCTTCCTGGGGTTCCCAGGGTTTATCACAGGCTGGGGGTGCCTTGGTGCACCCCAGCTCTTTCTCTGAACACCATGTGCTGGTGTTCATCTCAAAAAGTTTTAATTTGTCTTCATTTTGCACTATCTTCCTGAAAGTCAGGAAATTTTTAATTATTCCCGTGAGAAACTTAGGTAAGAAAATGCTTTATGGATTTGTGGGTTTCTTCTCTCTTGGCAATCTTAAGCTTTACAGGCTCTACTGTTGATCATTGACTATTTAAAATTTCTTTTTAAAGCCCTAAAGTGTACTTCCCTGAAACATCAAGGTTGCAAGTTCCTAGTTTTGCAAAATACCAGTCGGAAAAGCTCTTGTTTTCTTTATCAGGATCAATCTTGTACATAAAATGAGTGTGTGAATGGCAATTACTCTTTTGGAGAGATATTCACATTCAGAGAAATTAAAAATATTGTATAAAGAATGCACATAAACGTATCAGAAACCCTCAACTACTGAGAGAGTGTTTTTAGCCCATTTTGGGTTTCTTTGGAATAGGCCATGCTTTTTTCAGCCTTATTCAGACTGAGCAAGATCTGTGATAATTCTGTTGAAATCCCTGAAATAACTTTCAGAGTTAAGATCTACTTAAGTGACTGAGATGACAGAGCCTGACATTTAGGATAAGATCCAAAGCCTATTGCTGCTGATAAGAATTTTAATATGTACTTCTCTGACAGCTTTATATCAACTGGCTTTGACTTGTGGTGTTTGTGTAAGTGAATGTGGAAGAGATGAATAAATTTCTTTGACTAAAAGATATATTTAAATAATTTTTCCTTTTTTTTTCAGCACAAGTTTTGGTATTTTATTAAGAATGATATCTTTTTRTGCCATTGAAATGATATCTGATTTTATATGGATTCATCCATTTTTAATGAACTTTTTRTATTATTAGTTTTATTTTCAGGATTGATTGTAGTCAGCATTGTTATTGAATAAGCCTCACCTAAATTTTTCACTGTTCCATGGGGACTAAGGGGAAAAAAAACCTCAGGTAGAACACTGAACAGCTTGCATAAACAGTTCTTGAGACAACTATTTTTTTTTTTTTTGAGTTCCCAATAGACACTTTAAATTAGCATGAAAAGCAAGATTATTATGGTTTTGGGTACTTTGATGATCTAAGATCCCAAGACAATGAATCCCTTTTTCTCAAAGCTTTTTTAAAAATTCCTTCACTGCATAAAATACGTGATCTGTCTTCTCTTTCTTACCCTTTCCTTCAAACCACTTGAATTCRGAGTAGGCAGATCTTGTGCTAGAGATGCTCTAACACATAAAATGGATAAATTCTGGTATGTGGAATATATGGAAATTATGGTGAATCATTGAAAAAATGTCCAGCCAGAGGATTATTTTGTGTATCACAAAGTTTTTTAAAGAATCATGGCAAATACACTACTGGGGATCTAAACCAGCTGACAGTGGTAAGAATCKGACCCTCATGTAGTAAATCCTCCCCTCCTGAGTTTAGGGTGCTGTACCCCTGTTCAGTGCACTTGAAGGTTGTGTCCTCTAGTGACCCAACCTCATCAAGAAGATGCAGATTAGTTTTGATTTTTCCCAACCCGAAGCTGACTGTGTTAGCTTGGTTTTTTTTAAAGAAAATTGAATAATTAATGTAGCACTTAAAAGGAGGTTGATCTTTTTGATGCCTACTGCTCCCTTTGCTTAGAGCATCCCAGAGGGACATACTAGAAGGGAAGCAGTGCAAAAGTGCAATGTCCCTTTCCTCTCCCACCCACCCTTGGCAAGAGGGTGCTGATCTCCTTAGCCTAACTCTGAAGCCTTGATTACCCTCCCAGTTTCATGGTATCTTTTTGATCTATGTGTCTTTGAACTTTTTGTAAGGATTTTGGTGATTTGTTCAATGCCTTTATTCTTTCTTACTGGATTTTCTTTGAAAGAAGGATTTCAAAAGCCTCTATTACAGTAACAGTTTTCACTGAGGCTATTTYAATTTTGCAATATTCCAACCTTCAACATCTGTTTTTCAACTCTGTTGAATCAGGCTGGAAACAGACATCTGAAGTGACTGTTTAGCAAAATAATTATTTTTTTCCCAGTGGTCTAGAGTGAAAAATATGCAAATATGAATAAAGTGAGCTTGTTTGGAAGGCACTGAGCTTTAATGAATAACAGCAAAATAAAGCAAATTAAAATTTGTTGTGAACACAAGCTCTTTTAAAAGWACAAATTAAATGAACATACTGAGAGTTAAAACAAGACACTGGAGGCTTTAACAAGCATGATCTCTGCATGGGAGGTGCAGAATAAAAGAGGAATCAAATGAGACCCTCACAGAATTGGCACAAAAGTATTTTTATTACTAACATAACACTATCCAGCCTAATAACAACACACTGAGTTTCAAATCCTACTCTAGTGCATCACTTCAGGTGAAACAATGAGGAAAATTGATCTGTTGCCCATAAACCCTGYGCACAAATTTCTCCAGAAATGGCACTTTCAGTGGAGGGTTTGTTTGTTGATGCTGCATCTATATCTGGAAATTACCATCAAACTGAAAGTTTTTCTTTTCTGCAAGGCTGGGTGGCTTTAAGGGGGAAAAACAACCAGAAGAATTTCCTTCCTTCCTTCCTTCCTTCCTTCCTTCCTTCCTTCCTTCCTTCCTTCCTTCCTTCCTTCCTTCCTTCCTTCCTTCCTTCCTTCCTTCCTTCNTCCTTCCTTCCTTCCTTCCTTCCTTCCTTCCTTCCTTCCTTCCTTCCTTCCTTCCTTCCTTCCTTCCTTCCTTCCTTCCTTCCTTCCTTCCTCAGTCCAAGCAATATAATTCCATAATGTATGGAATTTATAAAGAACAATTGTATGACTCTAGATTTGATATGAGAATTATTTTCTCTCCAGTATCTGGAATGCTAAATGTGTTTATTTTGACTAAATTTTTGTAAGTGTTGAGTTTGCTTGCATATCATGAAAACGAAGATATGTTTCAAATCCTTTTTCACTGAAGAAGCACAGCTAAAACTCCATGCTCAAAAGAATGCATTTTAGAGTAAATACAAGCATGTACCACCTAATGTGAACAGAGGGCAGAACCAGATACCTCCTGAGGTCTCTTCCAACTTCATCTTATTCTGTGGTGCTGTGAAAGAGACAAGAAGACACTTGTAGAACAAGAAAAAAAAGCCTGTACAAAAACTTGAGCAGAATTTTATATAATCAAGAAAAGAAGAAGGCAATTTCATGAAGTTCATAAAAGCTATCAGTATTTTTACCCAATGTAGATAATAAACAATAAGTATTTTGATGTTTCAYGCTATGGAAAATGTTTGTGGATGGATAAATTGAACATTAATTTTAAAAAAATTAACTTGTATTAGTAATTCCAATATTTCTTTTGTGCTTGTGTTTTTTTTTTCCTTTGATATATTTTTTCTAAAAAGCCAAAAAAAATGTCAGACAATTATTAACCACCCACCTAAGCTGAATGGCACAAAAGACATTTATGTAATGCTTAATCACATTTTATATTAGCACTAGTAAAACTTCTCATGAGCATTTGAGCCAGGGTAGTCAGGACTTTCCTCCAACTGTGGAATCCTTCACTTTGGAAAAAGAGYGAGAGGAAGTCTGCTCTAACCTAGAATGAAGTTTTTGCAGAATCTGGATGTGATGCAATTCACTTGGCTAACAGACTCAAATCTCAAGTCTGCTGGTCCAGTAGATAGTCCTATTTTATATGAAAAAGTAAGAAAAACTGGCAGAACTTACATGAACAGCARTGCATTTGTGCAGCCCGGTTCGAAAAGCTCTGCTGCCTGACAGCAAGGAAGCACACCTTTCCATCTCAAAATCCATACTACTCTTTAGTGCTATTGGTTAGCACTTCATAGTGGCACGCTTACATTCACACTGCTTAAATTGATCACATTGCTAATTTTTCATTTTCTGTCTTTCAACAGCTGGAAACAGTGAAAGTGATGGCCAAGAAGCGGTTCGGAAAATAAAAGAAGAAACTTTGACTGGAAAAGGTACCATATTATATATTTTTCTTTAAGAAACTCTTTTTCCTATCTTTTTGCAATCATCTCATTTTATATGAAGTCCCCTTGTGTATTGCTAAACTTTTTTTTGGAACACTGGAACAGTTTTCCCAGAACAGTTGTGGATGCYCCATCCCTGAAGTGTTCAAGGCCAGGTWGGRATGRAGCTCTGAGCAAACTGCCCTGGTGGAAGGTGTCCCTGCCCATGGCAGGAGGTTTGGAACTARATTATCTTTAAGGTCCCTTCCAACACAAATGATTCTGTGATTCTATGAACTAAAATCCTGAAATAAATCTGATTTGGGGTAAAATGAATAGGATATTTTTTAAAAAGTGTTTTCAGCCTTGTTTGATTTTACTGTTTGTCATTGGAAAAGGGCTGCCTGCAAGTGACAGTCTGACTGCGTATGGGTATGGGCACAACAATTTAATAGCTGGGAGAAAATTCAAAATATTTCAGAATATTCAAAATAAAATAGTAATTTTTGCTAAGGGGTGGATGACAGCAGGTAAGAGTGTGTCCTCTTTTTCTTTGCTGGTTTTAGGAGGCAGTAGGTTTTTGAAAGAACAAGGCTGCTCATTTGGGTTATTTGACATATCTTAAGACACATGTTTACTTCAAAAAGTAAAACCATTTTCTTAAATGTAAATGGACCTTTCATATCAAGATAAATTCCTATGTTTTTGTGGTTCTCTCATTTTCTTTTTCTGATGATCTATCATGTTTGTGGAGGTATAAGGAGAGAATAGCCTGATAATTAAGAGAAAAGGCACGTTCCACACTATCTGCTCTGGGATTATAATTTTCAATTTATGGTGGAGGTTAGCACAGCTCATATTTTTGATCCTGGGTTTCACTGGGTGTAGTTCCTAGCTGTGTATGATGATTCATTCCTGCCACTTTGATGCATCATTTCTTGGCAAAATAATAGGGCAGTGTTGTTAGTCCAACCTATTTAGGATCTTCATGGCTTCTTCTGAGGTCTGATTCTGTTTTTGTGCCTCTAATAATTACTGTTATGGTGATCAAAATACATGTTAATTATTGGGTTAAAAAAMCCTTTCATTAAGATTTATCTTTTGAGTTAAGTAAATGTGCATCCATTATAGCCTCAGGATACATGTATGCTAGTTAAAAGCATCATAAATTATGGTATAGTTAGAAGGGTCATGAAAGGAAAAAGGTAATTATTCCATCATTAAAATCTGTTACTGGATGTTTCTGTRCAGAGAACAAAACCAGTTGGAATTCTTTATGTCATGTGACATGCATGAAGATTAATACATGAGAGTCTGTCTTATTTTCTCCCTTCTGTGTGATCACAGGCTTTTCTAGCACCCCAGTCTTTCTTGATTTTTCTACCTACAGTCAGTTATAKCCCTCAGTTATAAACTGTTAAGATACAGATGACAGTTTCAGGAAGCTGAAAGYGTATTTAAAGTCGACTTAAGTTGTTCCTCATTGTAATTATTATGACTGAGGCTTTAGTAAYCTCAGACCCCAGTAGGTTTGGCCTAAAAAGAAAAAAATTGGAAGAATATTCCTTTTTCAGAATTTCTAACTGATTAAGGGAAATTTTTATTTACAATGCAATGTCCTGTACAAAAGACTTGTGTGAAACTGACTGCCACTCCTGTTTTACTGTTCATCAATGAATTTGCACTTTACTTTTAATAGGATGTGTGCATAGATACTGCGACTCAGACCAGGCTGTGCAAGTGTATCACCTTTTCAAAAGCTGCAGTTCAAGATGTGTTTACTCACGGCATAAAACCATTATTAATTGTCTTGACCCTTTTCCCTAGCTTTTTCTTTGAGCATTTTTCATGGTCCATATGAAAACACTGCTTTACAGAAATTGTTCCCATCAGGAATATCAGATTCTTGGAGGAGCTCTGCTCRAAATAGTGTTGKTGGGCAGCCAGTGTGGTCAGGGATKGGGACRATATAKCTATTATGGACAAACARCATGAGTGGATGCCATCAGTTTGTTATCCAGATCTCAGATCTCTTAGAACAAACAAARTCTCCTCTCTTTTGATCAGGTTAGACAGCACAAGGGAGCAAAAGACCTTGTCCTCTCCTTGTTGCCTGGCTGAGCCATACATAGCACAAACATCCCTAGAGACAGCTCTGGGAAAATGCCAGGCTTTTTGAATGCAAGTAATTACAGTGTTYTTAAGGCACTACCATCCCTCTCTGTCTTGGCCCACTGTCTGTCTGGGGCTCTGTCTGATATCTAAGGCTAAGTAGTTTTATTTGACATAATCTATACTTACTTCTGGGACAAGTAAGATTCAAAGCATGTRCATAAGTAATTCCTATGAAGCAGCTGATGAGCAATAATGTGCTAACAGTTGCAGAGGAGGATAAAGGATAGTAATAAAAAGCCTATGCACGCAGGCAATGGGAATTTTTTTGGTAAATGCAGGTAAGACATGATAAAAGGAYGGACAAAACTTCTGAATATGGGGAGGTAGGAAGCCTGGTTTCCCATGCTGCAGGCATTGAAGGCAGAGCCAATGCCAAAAGAGGGTATCAGAGAGGAAAGCAATTGCAGCCATTTGCCTACAAAGCAATGATAATGAAGGACTCTGAAAGTCTCAGCAATGTATCATTTCACCTCTTCCTTCCACCCATCCTCTCCCCTCGTGCTACATCAGAAACCTCCCTGGTTCCTTTCCCAGCTGATTCCAGGCTATTTAAGTGTCCTCCTTGGTTTTGAGTCTCTGTTCTGAGTAACCTGTTGCAAAGTGTGGAGAGGGAGGAGGCACACGGACAGTGGAGTGGAAGCCAATASGCTACAAGCCCCTGGGGCATGATAGACCAGTTAGCTTAACCATCAGAACCTCCTCCATGACAAAGAAATCACAGCCCTCCGATAGCCAGAAGAGGCCAGAACTAGTGGTGCATTGTCATTAAAATTCTCACATGGGCACTATTTCCAAAAGACCAAGGGCAACAGATTGCTGCACCCTGAATCGTAAAGCTGGGAGAAGCCAGGGTGATGTGGACGTTTATCTTGCTTCCATTTGTTAAATTGGGAACTTGTGTTGTTAATAGTAGCAATTACATGGCTGGGAAAATGGTTGATGGTTCGGGATTGCCACAGAGATATTCTAATTGGGTAAATCTCTGTAATTTGCACACAGGGTGTGTCTGTGTTAGTGTGCTCCTTAGATCAGGAGGGTGCTTTTCAGGCAACCCTCAGCTGTTGCCTGCTTGCTGAGCACAGACTCCCATCAGGAAGGGGACTGCAGGTCCTGACCTGGATTCCCTTTGGACAGGACTAGCCTGGGAGTTGAAGCAGTAACAGAGCATTAGTGCATGGAAGCAAACTTAAGAGTTTATCTGAGCAAAGCATTCCATCGAACTGCATCGGTGCCCAGTACAAAATGAGCTCTAGAAACGGGCTTCTGCTGATCCAAACTGCTTGCTGATGTAGCCATTACCAGTCATGAGCAAACTTCATTGAGTTGTAAAAATGGGAGGTTTCTGTGATAAACTCAGCTCTCAATGATACTGGAAAATATACATTTGCATAACAGAGTTGTATCTCCTGACTCAGTTACCCTCAGCTTATGTCTCTGCACATGAAAGCTGGTTTCAGCCTGATGATTACAAACATACAAATGTTGGAAACTCATMTATAAACATGAATGAGAGTTTCATTCATTCCAGCATAGGTTCATGAATGCCAATGGAGGGGAATCAGCAATTAGCAAAATTTTATTCATAAATATCACATAGCAGAGTACCAAGGGAAGGCTCTCGCAACTGCAGTGTGGGAGCTGGAGTTGCAAATAGAGTCAAAGGAGAAAAAAATTAAAAGTTAGTGAGAAAAGAGGGTGTAAAAGTCATATTAAATGTAGACCTCTTCAAAAGCAGAAGCCAGTGTTTAATCTCACCCAACATTTTTGTGGTAATTCAAATAAAACCACWACTATAAAACTGCGAGCTAAATTCTCAGCATTCATGAGATTTCCATTTGGAGTCAGGTGAGAAAGGAAGAAKGGAGTTTCTCCCTCAGAGCTGGAGGAATGCAGAGGTTAGCACAGTGGCAACCAAATTGTATCATTTACAGTCTGACCCACATCAAGATAGTGTGGGCCAAGTAATAGGAAGAATTGTCTTAAAAGCAATTCACATGCATTTGACAAGCCTGGCTKTTTCCCAGAGCTTTCTCTAGAGATGTTTGTGCTACATGTGGCTCAGCTAGGGAATAAAGAGATGGCAAGGTCTCTTGCTCCCTTTTGTAGTTAACCTGCTAATATAGAAGGAATTTTTCCTTGTTATTAGAGATCTGAGAYTGAAGAATTCACAGGAAAGAACGACGAATAGATCTGATGTGTATCACATGTAATTACAGAATAAATAGTGGAAAATATTTGTAGTTGAGACATATCTTCTACAAATGTGAACAAGCATGCGTGAGTTCATACTTGCTTGTGTCAGATTTGCTTTTTGCAGTGGAGTTTTGAGTTGTAAAAGCATAACTCCCTGGGTTTGTGGCTCAGCCTAATGTGGCTACTTTGTCTCTTCCACCACATCCTGCTGTTGGAATATCCTTTCTGTAGCACTGCTGATGCTGAAASACCTGTAGGATTGGTTTAAAGAGCTTCCTGGCAATAACTGCAGTTTCCATTGRCACGTTTTCTTTTCCCATGCTTCTGCCTTATCTCCAGCACTCGGCTTTGGCAGGTCAGTGACTGCTCTCAGAAATGTACAGCTGAATGTCAGGCTCATGAACACATCTTGTAAAATAGGGAGTAGAGAAGTCTCACTCTGACTCTGTGCCACTTCACAGGACCCTATGTGGACCTGCAGAGTTTTTCTGCTCTGTCTTACACTTGATGACAAGTGTAAGAACCTTGCCTAAATGTCAAGATTTCTTTTTCTTCTGTAGCCTCATCTCATGTTCTATCAGGTATGTTCAAGGCATATGAAACATTTGAATCTTGAAAAATAGTGGATGTGTCAGTCTGAA